CCTGTCATCAGCCTGGAGGAAAAAGCCACTGGGGCCCTAATTTTTGAATTAACAAATTGAAGGACACACGATGATGTTTTGTGTGTGCTTCTGCGGCTTAGTATCCCGTTTGCATTTTTGTTGAAAAATTTTCAGTGAAGTTGGTTTGAGCTTCTCTCCGACCGAAAAGTGATGGAATAGAGCATTCCTGGAGAGAAAAATGACTTAGAGATTTTATTTTTTTACAAATTTTCGGGAAGCCGTATTCCAGTAGAGAATTCGCGTCTAACTTGTGCGATTATGAATGAATTCAGCTTCACAAGTCTTTGTTTTGCTGAGTACTAGTTGACCGTACTTCAGGAATGTCTTGATTTTGTGCGACCACTGGACGAAAATGGAGAGAATCTGGGTACAAAACCGACTTTTTCTGATGTGTTCAGATTGTACACAAGTTTAAAAGTAAGCTCATTTACTTCGATTTGAATATGTAAAGTTTGGTTACGCGGGTGATTTTTTTTTTACTTATTGTCAGGTCGGCTGTATACCCTTCTTCGCAGTTTAAATTTACACTGGAAACAGTAAAGAGGCGATTATCGAGTGAATTTTGGTGGTGTTTTGGCTCTGTTCGTCCATTTCTAGAACGCGTGAGGTCAAGATAAGTTATCTGTATAAGGTTTTATGCAGAATTTTACACTTTACCGTAGGTCCTTACTGTAATCACATTGCATTTTTAGACACAAAGCCACAACTGTGTGTCTGATGTGTCTTTTTTTCTTTTTTTTAAAATCAAGACTAAGATTCGTAAAAAAAAAAAAACACTGTTTTTTCGTCGACTTGTTTTTGTACCCAACAAAACGACAGTTCGCATTCGGAAGTGGACATTAATTATAACTTGTTGAAGAACAGGAGGTCACACTTAATTCATGTATTACTACTTGAATTACAAATCGGTGAATTGCAAGTTTAACAGAAACCATAACACCACTCACCGTCCTTTTTCAGACAGGCATGACAATGAAGGAGTGGTGCGAAAGAATGGTACCGCGGCAATATAATGTTGACGAAAGGCGTCTGGTGCAGTTTGGTATTTGCCATGGTTTTGTTCGCAAGTTGTGC